ACTTTTTCTTTACTTTTTAAAACTTCTCACTCCTTTCCATTTCATTTGTTTATTGAGATATAGTTCACATACTATAAAATTCACTCTTATAACTCAGTGGTTTTTAGTATATTGATACTTGTACAACCATGTCTACTATCTCATTCCTGAATTTTGTTTAATTTTGCCTGGTTTTTTGAGTCTTGCTTGCTTTATCCCTTTCTCTTCTTCTCTGTATTATTGAAGCATATAATATCATTTTGTTTCGTAATTAGGGGTATTGACTTTGGTCGCTTCGTTAAGGGGGTATCTGTCAGATTTCTTTATTGTACTGTTATTATTTTATCCTTTTATAGTCTGGTAATTGATATCATTATCAAGGTAATTAATAATTTCTGGGGAAGTATTTTGTGACTGTGTAAATATCCTGTTTTCTTTTTTTGTTTTCTTGTCAGTGTTGTTTTTTTTTTTTTCTGAGACATGGTCTCACTCTGTTGTCCATACGGGAGTGCAGTGGCTTGATCTAGGCTCACTGCAACCTCTGCCTTCCAGGTTCAAGCAATTCTCCCAGCTCAGCCTCCTGAGAAGTTGGGACTAAAGGTGTGTGTGCCACTATGCTCAGCTAATTTTTGGATTTTTTGATAGAGATGGGGTTTCACCATATTGGCCAGGCTGGTCTTGAACTCCTGACCTCAAGTGATCTGTCCACGTTGGCCTCCCAAAGTGTTGGGATTACAGGTGTGAGCTGCTGTGCCCAGCCCAATATCCTGTTTTTCAACAAACTTTTACTCATTATTTTTAGCATCCATTGATAATTCTTAAGTGAAACAATTATTAGCATGGTGATTGCCACATGTAAATTATCTAACTCTTTCACTGCTTCTATGTTTAAGGATGGACTCATAGGTTTTATTCTATGGGCCATAAATCCCTTGTTAGCCTTCTTCATTCACGTTGACACAGGTTTGGCCAAAGATAGCGCCATCAAGCTGGGTCTAGTATACTTTTGATTTGTTCCTACCTTCCTTTCAGCATGTCCTGTTTTCTAATACAATACAATGTTTCGGGTTCATCTTGTACTTCCCTATCCAATTGTGGAATAATCATTTATCCAAGGAACTCTGATTCCTTTAGGGAGTACTATTTAGAAACCAAGGTCTGGAACTCTAGGTATGCTCATAGCGATGGGAGCGTCGTTGCTTCTAGGCTTTGGCTGTGTCTCTTCAGAGTCCACTATAGTCATCCTATTTCTGTCTGCTGTCGATGATACTAAAGTTCCATTCTTCATCCCTTCCATTTCCCTCCCTATAAGTTAGTACCTGGAAGCATTCTTAGAGGTCACAAGAAATCATTATATTCAGGTATGGAATGCAATTTTTGTGTAGATAACAAATCTATATCCATGAAATGTGATTCTGCCCATCATCCATCTTTTTGCAAGGTCTTTTCCTGTGAAAGGTATGTTTTTTCTTTTCTTTTCTTTTTGAGACAGAGTCTCTCTCTGTTACCCAGGCTGGAGTGAAGTGGCGCAGTCTCAGCTCATCGCAACCTCTGCCTCCTGGGTTCAAGCGATTCTCTTGTCTCAGCCTCTCTAGTAGCTGGGATTACAGACATGCGCCACCACGCCCGGCTAATTTTGTGTTTTTAGTAGAGACGGGGTTCTCCATGGTGGTCAGGCTGGTCTCGAACTCCCGACCTCAGGTGATCTCCCTGCTGCAGCTTCCCAAAGTGCTAGGATTACAGGTGTGAACCACTGTGCCTGGCCAAGGTGTGTTTTTTCTTTCTTTCTTTCTTTCTTTCTTTCTTTTTTTTTTTTTTTTTTTTTGAGACGGAGCCTTGCTCTTTCTCCCAGGCTGGAGTGCAGTGGCGCGATCTGGGCTCACTGCAAGCTCCGCCTCCCGGGTTCACACCATTCTCCTGCCTGGGACTACAGGTGCCCGCCACCTCACTCAGCTAATTTTTTGTATTTTTAGTAGAGACGGAATTTCACCGTGTTAGCCAGGATGGTCTCAATCTCCTGACTTTGTGATCTGCCTGCCTCGGCCTCCCAAAGTGCTGGGATTACAGGTGTGAGCCACCGCGCCCGGCCCAAGGTGTGTTTTTTTCTAAACAGTTTTTTGAAAGAGTAGGTCGTGTTACCTAACAACCACTGGCTGTCTATTCTTTAATATGTGTTCAATTGTGTTGCTGTATTCTTGGCATCACATAACAGAAGAATAAAGAAATTTTCTTCACATCAGACTGGAAGGTAATGGAAATGTTTACTGTTTATTCTGTTTTCAGTAGCCGTTTCAACCCTTCCATGTCTATAATTTGCTTGATAAATAATTAATGACTCCCATTGTACTAGGTCATAGTATTCCTCATAGTCATAAAATGCCAGCAAGAAGGACCCTTAGCCTGTTGAGTCCAATCCCTTACTTTTTTTTTTCCTCCAAGATGGAGTCTCACTCTGTCACCCAGGCTGGAGTGCAATGGCATGATCTCAGCTCACTGCAACCTCTGCCTCCCAGGCTCAAGCGATTCTCCTGCATCAGCCTCCTGAGTAGCTGGGATTATAGGCATCCGCCACCACGACTGACTAATTTTTGTATTATTTGTGCAGGTGGGGTTTCACCATGATAGCCAGGCTGGTCTCGAACTCCTGACCTCAGGTGATGCACCCGCCTTGGCCGCCCAAATTGGTAGGATTGCAGGCATGAGCCACCACAACTAGCCAATCCTTTACTTTTATAGGTGGAGAAACTGAGACCTAAGAACTGAACTGACTTAAGTCCGTGGCTAATTGATTGCAGAGCCAAAAGTGGAGTCCAGGGCTCCTAACTTCCGTTCTAGAACATTTTTGCTGTAGGTAGTGGAGAGAGATTGGGTTGATGGAACCTGCCTGAAGTTTCCATGGTTGCTGGGTGGAAACAGCAAGCTTCCTTCTCTCTTGGCACTCAGGTATCCAGATGGGCATTGAATTTTTCTGGTGATTGGTCATTTGATGACCAGGCAGGGGAGCAGAAAAGGAGATGGTCCAGACCAGAAGCTGTTTGAGGATGTGGTGTTGCCTGACCAGACACCTTAAGGCCAGAATTCTAAGTAGTTTCAAAACTCCTCCTCCCTTTCCTAGCCCCATCTACGGACTTTCTGCTTTCTTCAAAATGCTCTGTTGGGCAGGTGCAGTGGTTCACACCTCTAATCCCGACACTTAGGCCGAGGCGGGAAGATTACGTGGGCCTAGGAGTTCAAGACCAGCCAAGGCAACATAATGGGCTGGGCCCTTTTCTCTACAAAAAAAAAAAAAAAAAAAAAAGCTGAGTGTGGCGGTATGCACCTACAGTCCCAGCTACTTGAGGGGCTGAGGCAGGAGGGTCACTTGAGCCTGGGAGGTTGGGGCTGCAGTGAGCCGTGATCACACTGCATTCCAGTCTGGGAGACGGTGAGGACCTGTCTCAAAAAAAAACCCCGCAAAACCAAAAAAGACCCTGCTCTGTTTATAAAAAAGGTCTGTTGGTTTTCTTTTTTAATATTTTCAGTTTAGCAGTATTTTGACATCAACATAGTTACATTCGTACAATTTTCTTAAAAAGTTAAATACAGGCCAGGTGCGGTGGCTGACGCCTGTAATCCCAGCACTTTGGGAGGCCGAGGCGGGTAGATCACGACGTCAGGAGATGGAGACCGTCCTGGCTAACACAGTGAAACTCCGTCTCCACTAAAAATACGAAAAAATTAGCTGGGCGTGGTGGCGGGCGCCTGTAGTCCCCGCTCCTTGGGAGCCTGAGGCAGGAGAATGGTGTGAACCCGGGAGGCAGAACTTGCAGTGAGCCAAGATCGCGCCACTGCACTCCAGTTTGGGCGACAGAACGAGACTCCATCTCAAAAAAAAAAAAGAAAAAAGTTAAACACAAATATATCTTATGATCCATTTCCTGACTGTCTACCCAAGAGCGGTGAAAACGTATGTCCACCCGAAGACTTGTATGTAAACAGCAGCATTGTTCGTGATGGTCAACAAGTAGAAACAAGCCAGCTGTCCAGGAACTGGGGAATATGGATAAACAAAGTGTAGGTATTCTTACTGTGGAATATTATTCACCCATAAAAAGAAGTGAAATACTGACAAGTTATAAAGTGGATGAACCTCACAAACTTGTGTTAAGTGACCAGAAGACCTCATTATGATTTCAGTTCCTTGAAATATCCAGAAAAGGTAAGTCTGTAAAGACAGAAAGTACATCAATGGTTGCCTCAGGCTAAAGTTGGAAATGAAGAAAGACATGCAAATGGTCATGAGTTCTCCTTTTTGGGGTGATAAGGGTGCTCTAAAAGTGGGTTTTGGTGATGGTTGCACAACTCTGTTAATATACTAGAAACTATTCAATTGTACACTTACAGGTGAATTTTATAGTGTGTGAATTATACTTCATAAAGCTTTAAAAAATTATATTTTAAATTTGATGTCTGTAATAGTTGTCATATTTAAGTATCTTATCCTGTCTTCATTATTAAACATTTTTATACTGCTTTCTTTCCACTTTTAAGTAGGATTTTCAAGGAATGCTAATGTCAGATGATGTTAATGGTAACAGTAAAAATAGCTAGCATTTGTAAAATAGTTACTATGCACCAGACATTATGCTAAGTACTTCTAGGTTATCTCACGGTAGCATTGTGATATTGGTACTACTATCCTCATTTTACAGCAGAGGAAACAGTTTCCTAGAGGTAAATGACTTGTCCAAAGCCACACAGTAAGGAGACAGTGAGACAGGAATTTGACCGAGTCATTTAATCTCTGTGCTCTGTATATGGACATGCAGTGTTTTTGGTGGAGGATTGTACTGCTTTTCATATGCCGTGACTGTTAAACACTCATGTATATATGCCACTGGGATGAATGCTCTGTATAACTATTTATGTGTGATCTCTCCAGGAAATTCAGATGGGCATTTGGTTTTGCCTGTTTGTCACAGAGCTTGTACAACATAGTGAATCTTATTAATCAGTTTTACTTCTTTTTCTCTATTCCTCAGCCTTAATTTTAAAGACCCCGAAGCAGTCAGAGCTCTGACTTGTACTCTCCTAAGGGAAGATTTTGGACTTTCTATTGATATTCCATTGGAGAGACTAATTCCCACAGTTCCCTTGAGACTCAACTATATTCATTGGGTAGAAGATCTGATCGGTCACCAGGATTCTGACAAAAGTACTCTTCGAAGAGGAATTGACATAGGTATATAGTTTTAAATTCTTTTTTGGCTAAACATAGGTTTCGTAAGTTTTGCAAGATCAAATTCTTTGTTAACTTTTCTACTGGGTATTTGTTGTTGTATGAAAGAAGCTGGCTACAGATACAGGTTGAGCATCCTTAATTCGAAAATCCAAAATGCTTCCAAATCTGCAACCTTTGAGCACTGATATGCTGCTCAAAGGCAATGTGCATTGGAGCTTTCCAGATTTGGGGGTTAGGGATGTTCAGCCTGTAAATATAATGCAAATATTTCAAAATCTGAAAAAAAAAAACCTGAAATCCAAAACACTTCTAATCCCAAGCATTTTGGATTAGAGATCCTCAACCTGTATTACCGTCTTATTTACTACACCTGTTACCGTTCTTATTTACTACACCTGTTACCATTCTTACTTGCTACACCTATTACCGTTCTTATTTACTACACCTGTTACCATTCTTACTTACTACACCTATTACCGTTCTTATTTACTACACCTGTTACCGTTCTTATTTACTATACCTGTTACCATTCTTATTTACTACACCTGTTACCATTCTTACTTACTACACCTATTACCGTTCTTATTTACTACACCTGTTACCATTCTTATTTACTACACCTATTACCGTTCTTTTTTTTTTTTTTTTTTTTTTGAGACGGAGTCTTGCGTCTCGCTCTGTCGCCCAGGCTGGAGTGCAGTGGCGCAATCTCGGCTCACTGCAAGCTCCGCCTCCCGGGTTCACGCCATTCTCCTGCCTCAGCCTCCCGAGTAGCTGGGACTACAGGCGCCCGCCCCTGCGCCCGGCTAATTTTTTCTATTTTTAGTAGAGACGGGGTTTCACCATGGTCTCGATCTCCTGACCTTGTGATCCGCCCACCTCGGCCTCCCAAAGTGCTGGGATTACAGGCGTGAGCCACCACGCCCGGCCTACCGTTCTTATTTACTACACCTGTTACCATTCTTACTTGCTACACCTGTTACCGTTCTTATTTACTACACCTGTTACCATTCTTATTTACTACACCTATTACCGTTCTTATTTACTACACCTCTTACCATTCTTACTTGCTACACCTGTTACCGTTCTTATTTACTACACCTGTTACCATTCTTATTTACTACACCTATTACCGTTCTTATTTACTACACCTGTTACCATTCTTATTTACTACACCTATTACTGTTCTTATTTACTACACCTGTTACCATTCTTATTTACTATACCTGTTACCATTCTTATTTACTACACCTGTTACTATTCTTATTTACTATACCTGTTACCGTTCTTATTTACTACACCTGGCCTTTTCTCCCACTGATTTCTCTTGAGAAGGGATTGTCAGTCCAAACAGGGAGTAAGAGGTTAAGGGAAGTACAAAATGAAAGTGAGGCTCTTACTTACATAGCTTTTCATTTTTTAAATTTTTTTATTTTGAAATAGGGTCTCGTCGTGTTGCCCAAGGTTGGTCTTGACTCCTGGGCTCAAGCAGTCCACGTGCCTCGGCTTCCCAAAGTGCTGAGATTACAGGCATGAGCCACGACACCTGGCCCTACTTAGCTTTTCAGATTACCACATTGATGTCTGTGTCTGTTGGGCTTAATTTTTACTCTGGTGTCTTCATATTGTGATTTTTTTTTTTTTTTTTTTTGAGGTGGAGTTTTGCTCTTGTTGCCCAGGCTGGAATGCAATGGCGTGGTCTCAACTCAGTGCAACCTCCGCCTCCCAGGTTCAAGCAATGCTCCTGCCTCAGCCTCCTAAGTAGCTGGGATTACAGGTGCCCTCCACCACACCTGGCTAACTTTTGTACTTTTAGTAGAGATGGGATTTCACCATGTTGATCAGGTTGTTCTCAAACTCCTGACCTCAGGTGATCTGCCCACCTCGTCCTCCCAAAGTGCTGGGATTACAGGCGTAAGCCACCACGCCTGACCACTGCACCTGGCCTCTATTTCGGACTCAGTGGAATTATTAGCATTCCTCACTCCTAGATAGTAGTAAGTGTTCAACTTTGATGTTTGTATACGTTTTTCAGTCCTCATCCTACATGATCTTTTCAGCGGCATTTATTGATCCCTCCTTTCTCTTTTGTTCGCTCTCCTTCATTTGCTTTCATGACGCCAGACTGTTGGTTTCCTCTTTCGTTTCTGTGCACTGTTCTCCACTTTTCAGGCGTACCTGCCTGTATCTGACCACTAGATATTGGTATTCCTTGCATAAAGCTCAGCCTTTAGCTCCTTTCTCACTCAGCACCCTACCCTGGCAATTGCATTCACTTCTATGATGATTTCCCACCTCTATACAAATAAATCACATGTTTATATGTTCCTCCAACTCAGATTACTTTCCTTGACCTCCGATCTCATATATAAGAGAAACTTGGATTTCTGAAAAACATCTCAGACTTGCTGTGTCCAAGACCAAACTCACACTCTGTTTCCCTAATCCTGGTTCTCTTTGTTTCTTGTTTCAGTGAGTCTACCATAGTCCACCCTGTGATCCTTGGTACTTACCACTCAGTAAAAAAATGTCTATGACTGTTTCCTGTTGACTTTCTCTCTTAAATACTTCTGAAATCATCTACTTCTCTCCATCTCCACTGCCGTCCTAGCCAAGTCATCATCTCTTACCTTTTTGCATTTCTGCATTTCTCACCTCTTCTGCTTCTCACCTAGTTTTGCTTAAAAAGCTTGACAGCCTAGTTGGTACTAATTTGATTTTAATTATGCCCCAAACCCTCTAAAATAGCATTTGGGGATAGAGGAGGTTAATGGATTTTAATTCTTCACAAGGGGCACTACCTAACTGCAATCACGTCCATTCTAATTAGGGCTTTATATAAATTCTTCCCCCAGACTCCATCAGTTTGCTCTAGTTCTACGATTACGTACTTTCCATTTTTATTTATCATTACAAAGATTATTACCCATTTAAAAATGTCATTTGGCTTTCTGAGGGGATTTTGTCCTGTCCTATAAAGGACTAGTAAAGAATCTGTTGCATTCTATTAGAGTACAAGTCTTTGGGTCTTGAGAATTAAGAAACTTCTTTTGGCGCTGACAAATCTTTTATGTATATTTATTACCCTGGAGGTAAGTGTACTTTTTTAATCTTTTAAATGAAATTGAAGTTTGAAGAGAGAGGCAGTTGTGTAAAAGTCAAGGATCTGGTCTGGATTTTTTTCCTACAGAGTAGAAAGTACAACTGAAATGTTCTGAAATGTGTGTGTGTCTGGCTTACTAGAACGGCCAGCAGGAGCTAAAGCAGTGTGGTTTCTGAGAAGACCTTGAGTACCCTTTACCACCCTTTCCCTCACCACCCCCAGGTATCCAAGGAGGTGCTTGTCCAGTAGCACCGGGCCCAGGATACTCTCGGGCAAACATGGCAGGCAACGCAGCATTCACCGTGACCATCAAAGAGCTTAAATGTTGGGGCCGTCAGCTTTTAGTAGCCTGTTCTGGATGCGTAATGAGGAAGCAGTATGACAAGCCTGGATTTCCTCTGGGTTAGGAGTATCTAGCCCCTGCTTCTCCCTGGCAAATCCTTACAAGGCTAGACCGGAACTGGGATATGGTCAGATGAGAGCAGACCTACAGTGGCTGGTGGAGGCTGACTGCTTTAGGCCTCTGGGAGAAACACTCTTCTCTTGAATATACTCTTTAGGATCTAATTGGCCAAGATAGTCAATATTGTAAAAGACAGAGAGGGAGATTGAGATTTGCTCTGTCACCCAGGCTGAAGTGCAGTGGCAAGGTCTCGGCTCACTGCAACCTCCACCTCCCAGGTTCGAGTGATTCTCCTGCCTCAGCCTCCTGAGTAGCTGGACTTGCAGGTGCCCACCATCATGCCCAGCTAATTTCTGTAGTTTTAGTAGAGACGGGGTTTCACCATGTTGCAGGCAGGCCTGGAACTCCTGACCTCAGGTGGTCCGCCTGCCTCAGCCTCCTAAAGTGCTGGGACTACAGGTGTGAGCCACCATGCCCGGCCTTTAAAAACAATATTCATGGTTAGTATATAGTCCAGTCCAGGGCTCGGGGTTCTACATAATTTAGTACCAAACCCTAGTGGTCAAAGAGTGTTTTTTTTGCCTGGAGTGTTTGCCTTTTGAATACCTCCCTTGACACTGGTGAGGCGAGCCAGTGACTCTGATGTCTTGGCTTCAAACCAAGTATTTTCCCATGTCTCTACAGCTAAGAGAGAGATGAGTTATCTCCAATCTCTTTAGTTTTTTTGTTTGTTTGTTTGTTTTTTCCACTTCTTATTTCTTTCAGCTGACAACTTACAGACATTTGGGTAATTCAGCAGTTTAATAAACATTTTATACCCTACATATTTTTTCTTGCTTTTGGAGAATGGAATGTACATTGATCCGTTTTAAGATATTACAAAGGCATTTTAACAAATAGCATTGTTTTCTTTTAAGAAAATTGAGTTTTGTGTGAGATTTAAAATGAAGACTCTTTACAAAGTAAATCAGCTGAGTTTTGAGCATTTTAGGTGAATTAGTCACATATTCCTTGACCTCTGCTTGTGTGTTCTTCATTTTTTATACAACACACGAAAGAGGAGGCCAGCAAGGTTTCGATACTTTAGGAAGGTTGAGTCTAATTAGGAGGTAAGACTAATATACACGAATGACTGAGGAACCCAGTAGCCATAATATATGTGGAATCAGGCACTAGCTTGTGATTTCTCTACCAAAAAATACAAAAATTACAGAAAAGACAAAAATTAGCCAGGCATGGTGGCATGCACCTGTAGTCCCGGGAACTCGGGAGGCTGAGTGGGGAGAATCGCCTGAGCCCAGGAAGTCGAGGCTGCAGTGAACCGTGATCACACCACTGCCCTGTAGCCTGGGTGACGGAGTGAAAACAGAATTCTGAGAAGAGTGGTGTTTTCATGATGATTCTAACCTTTCCCTCTGGTGTGTGGAATGTGTTTTGAATTTTCGTTTTACTAGGTACGGGGGCATCCTGCATCTACCCCTTACTCGGAGCAACCTTGAATGGCTGGTATTTCCTTGCAACAGAAGTGGATGATATGTGTTTCAACTATGCAAAGAAAAATGTGGAACAGAATAACTTATCTGATCTCATAAAAGGTTAGCGCCACAGAATGAATACCTCCACACTCTGTGTCTTCACCTGCCTTTTTAGTTTAACACATTTCATTACCTTTTTCTTGAATATGCAGACTTCGGCAATTTTAAAAAATCTGGCATTTTGTAATTGGGTTTGCTCTCTGTCTTGATACCAGAATTAACTCAGAAGGAAAATAGTAACTATAGTTGATCCTTCATTGTTTGTGGATTCTTTATTAGTGAATTTGCCTGCTTGCCGAAATTTATTTATTTATCCATTCATTTATTTTAGTAGATTTTCTTGAATAAATGTTTATTCATTATAACCCCTTAGAAACATTTCCAGAGACTTTAAGTGGCGGTTTTTTGTTTGTTTGTTGAGTTTATTTTTTAGGGCATTTTTAGGTTCATAGCAAAATGAAGTGGAAGGTTCAGAGATTCCCTGTATATCCCTGCCCCCACACATGCATAGCCTTCTCCATTATCAGCATGCCCCAGCAGAGTGGGATATTTGTCACAGGTGATGAACCTATGCTGGCACATCATTGTCACCCACCGTTCGTGCTTTACATCACGGATTCCTCTTGGTGGTGTACATTTCGTAGTTTTGGACGAATAAGCGGACATGTGTCTCCCAGTACAGTATACACAGAATCGTTTCACTGCCCTGCCGTGTTCTGTGCCTCAGCTGTCCGTCTCTCACTGGCCCCAGCCCCAGGAAACTACTGACCTGTTTACTGTCTTCATAGTTGTACATTTTCCAGAACGTCATATAATTGGAACCACACAGTAGATAGACTCTTCGGAGTGGCTTCTTCCGCTGAGTGACGTTTATTTAACTTTCCTAATGTCTTTTTACAGTTTGACAGCTTTTTAAAAAATTCTTTTAATTTATTTTTTTTCTGCTGCCTCTCTAATTGCAGAAAGCTCATTTATTTTTAGCACATTTCATTTTGATATTCGATTATCTGGGTGTACCAGAGTTTCTCCATTCACCTCTTGAAGGACATCTTGATTGTTTCCAAATTTTGACAATTACAGATAAAGTTGTGAGAAACACCTGTGTGCAGCTTTTTCTGTGCATGTAAGTTTTTGACTCCTTTAGGTAAATGCCAAGCAGTGTGCTTGCTGGCTGGTATGGTAATGGGATGTTTAATTTTGTGAGAAACCACCAAACCCCCTTCCAGAGCACCGTTTTGCACTCCCACCAGCAATGGACGAAAGTTCCTGTTGCTCACAGCCTTGCCAGCGCTGGGTGTTGTCAGTGTTCTGGAGTTTGGCCATTCTAATAGGTGTGTAGTGGTGCTTCCTTATTTTAATGTGCATTTTCCTGATACTGATGTAGAGCATCTTTTCATGTGCTCATTTACCATCTGTATATCTTTTTTGGTGAGATGTCTATTCAGGCCTTTTGCCCCCCCCCCTTTTTTTTTTGAGACTTAGTTTTGCTCTTGTTCCCCAGGTGGGAGTGCAATGGCGCGATCTCGGCTCTCTGCAACCTCTGCCTCCCAGGTTCAAGTGATTCTCCTGCCTCAGCCTCCCAGGTAGCTGAGATTTCAGGCACCCCCCACCATGCCCAGCTAATTTTTGTATTTTTAGTAGAGATGGGGTTTCACCATGTTGCCCAGGCTGGTCTCAAACTCCTGTCCTCAAGTGATTCTCTTGTCTGTACCTCCCAGAGTGTTGGAATGATAGACATGAGCCATTGCCCCCAGCCAAGTCCAGCTTATTGATCTTCTTTTAAGGAATTATATACAGTACCGTTGGTATTATATCCAAAAGTGCTGTAATCTCAGCACGCTGGGGGCTGAGGTCGGTAGATCTTTGAGGTCAGGAGTTTGAGACCAGCCTGGCCTACATGACGAAACCCCATCTCTACTAAAAATACAAAAATTAGCCAGCGTTGTGGTGCATGCATGTAATCCCAGTGACTCAGGAGGCTGAGGACCAAGAATCACTTGAGTCTGGGAGGTGGAGGCTGCAGTGAGCCGAGATCACGACACTGCACCCCAGCCCAGGAAACAGAGCAAGACTCTGTTACTTCTAGGAGTTTTATAGTCTTGCATTTTGCATTTAGGTTTGTGATCTGTTTTGAGTTAAATTTTGTGAAGGATATAAGGTCTGTGTCTAGATTCATTTTATGCATGTGGATGTCTAAGTGATGTTCCAGTATCAGTTCTTGAAAAGACTGTATCTGTTCTGTTCTATTGATCTATTCATTCACTAAAAACATGCTGTTTTGATTATAGTAGCTTTGTAGTAAGTCTTAGAATTGGGTAGTGTCAGTCTTTCAACTTGCCTCTTCTCTTTCAATACTGTGTTGGCTATCCTGAGCCTTTTGCCTCTCCAAATAAACTTTAAAATTAGTTTGTCAATAGCTAAAATGTATGCATGTAGGTTTGTACGTATGAATGTGTTTCCTTATTTAATTTTAGAGTCAGGGTCTCACTGTCACCCAGGCTGGAGTGTAGTGGTTCACTGTAGCTTCAACCTCCTATGTTCAGGTAATCATCCAGCCTCAGCCTTGTGAGTAGCTGAGACTGCCGGTGTGTTGCCACCACGCCTGGCTAATTTTTGTGTTTTTTTGTAGAGATGGGGTCTTGTCATGTTGCCCAGGCTGGTCTTAAACTCCTGGGCTCGAGTGATTTTCTGGCCTCAGCCTCCCAAAGTGCTGGAGTTACAGGCGTGAGCCACTACCCCCAACCAAAAATTTATTTTTAACTTAAAATTGACATTCATGGTACTTTTGTGGTCATTCACAGACACGTGCATAGTGGCATATAATTGGAGTTGCCCAGTGTGCGTGTTCCCAGCTGAGGCTCAGCAAAGCGATGCTCTGCCTTCTTACTCCAGCTTCCTTTCTGTGGACCAAGTGTCCTTTTCTTGGTCTATTTAATACCACGTTTTGGGTGTTTTTTAAATTTTTATTTTGCATTTTTGTGCTTTCCCTTGGTGATTTTGCTGTTTAAACTAGTCCCTAAACATAGTGCTGAAAGGCTGTCTTGTGTTCCTCAGTGCAAAAAGGCTGTGATGTGCCTTACAGAGAAAATACATGTGTTAAATAAGCTTCCTTCAGACACGAGTCATAGTGGTGTTGGCCATGAGTTTAGTGTTAGTGAATCAGCAATGTATATTCGATAAAGTGTCTTTAAACACCATAAAACAAGATTGTGTATCTATCAATTGATGAAAACGTGATGAGAGACTTGTAGGAACCTAACCCTGTATTTCCCCCGGGAACCAGTGGTTCAGTATTCACTCATTGACTATTTGTGGCTACTTTTTACAACATAACTAGTGCAGATAATGAGAATTGACTATATGTGAAGTAACTTAGTCATCAAGATTTTAAAAGGAAGGAAACCCTACTGTTGCTTAAACTATACCATCTTTTTAATTTCAGTACATAGGCAGGGTGCGGTGGCTCACGCCTGTAATCCCAGCACTTTGGGAGGCCGAAGCAGATTGCCCGAGGTCGGGAGTTTGAGAGCAGCCTGATCAACATGGTGAAATTCCATCTCTACTAAAAATACAAAAATTAGCTGGGCGTGGTGGCATGCACCTGTAATCCCAGCTACTCGGGAGGCTGAGGCAGGAGAATCGCTTGAACCTGGGAGGCAGAGGTTGCAGTGAGTGGAGATCACACCACTGCACTTTATTCTGGTCTACAGAGTGAGACTGTGTCTCAAAAACAAATAATAATTTCAGTACATAGAACTGTGCTAGAAATAGTCAAATCCCCTTGTGATTTGTTACTTTTTATTTTTGTGGCCGGGCGCGGTGGCTCAAGCCTGTAATCCCAGCACTTTGGGAGGCCGAGACAGGCGGATCACGAGGTCAGGGGATTGAGACCATCCTGGCGAACACAGTGAAACCCTGTCTCTACTAAAAAAATACAAAAAACTAGCCGGGCGAGGTGGCGGGCGCCTGTAGTCCCAGCTACTTGGGAGGCTGAGGCAGGAGAATGGCGTAAACCCAGGAGGCGGAGCTTGCAGTGAGCTGAGATCCAGCCACAGCACTCCAGCCTGGGCGACAGAGCAAGACTCCGTCTCAACAACAAAAAAAATAAATAAAAATAAATATTTTTGTGACCATTCTGTGTATAAAGCAGTGTTAATTTTTTTTTTCCATTGAAGAGATTTTATGTCTCTTTATGAAGGAAATAAGACTTTTCCTCATAGTATTGAACATATTTTTGTAAGGGGAGACATTCATATTATTAGTGCATTTGTTTTATTTATCCATTGTTGTGTAACAAATTATTCCAAAATCTAGGAGCCTATTTACTTTTATTTATTTTTTATTTTTTGAGATAGACTCTTGCTGTGTCACCCAGGCTGGAGTGCAGTGGCACAGTCTCAGCTCACTGCAACCTCTGTCTCCTAGGTTCAAGCGATTCTCCTGCCTGAGCCTCCCGAGTAGCTGGGATTATAGGTGCCCACCACCACACCCGTCTAATTTTTGTGATTTTTTTTAGTAGAGACATGGTTTCACCATGTTGGCCAGGTAGGTCTCGAACTCCTGACCTCAAGTGATCCACTTGCCTCGGCTTCCCACAGTGTTGGGATTACAGGCATGAGCCACCTCATTGTTACATTGTTATTGTAACAATATAACAATCCCGGCCCTAGGAGCCTTAAAAAATTTTTTTTTTTTTTTTTTTTTTGTTAGAGACAGGGTCTCACTCTGTCATCCAGGCCGGAGTGCATTGGCGTGATCATGGCTCAAGCCTCCTGGGCTCAAGCAGTCTCTCACTTTAACCTCCCAAGTAGCTAGAATTACAGGCTCATACCTCCACGGTCAGATAATTTTTTATTTTTAAAGTTTTTGTAGAGCTAGGTTCTTGCTATGTTGCCCAGGCTAACCTGGAACTCTTGGTCTCAAGCAGTTCTCCCACCTTGGCCTCCCAAAGCACTGGGATTACAGGCATGAACCATCGCACTTGGCCCTAGCAACTTCAAACAATACACATTTATCTCATTGTTCCTGTGGGTCATACATTCTGGCATAGCTTAGTCGGGTGGTTCCAGTTGAGACACTTTCATGCATTTGCAGTCAAGTTGTTGGCTAGAGCTACAGTATCTGAAGGATTTACGGGTGGTAGAGATTTGCTTCCGAGATGGCTTACTCGCGGCTCACTCACACGACTCTTGGAAGGAAACCCTAGTTCATAGCCATGTGGATCTCTCTGTGAAGCTGTTTGAGTGTCCTTAAAATGCAGCCGACACTCTAGGGGAAGGAAATTAAACTCCATCTCCTGAAGGGAGTAACGTCAAAGGGTTTGAGGACATACAGTCACGCATTACTTAACAGCAGGAATATATTCTGAGAAATATGATTTCATCGTAGTGTGTGCTCATGCACACCTAGGCCTGTATGTAATACCTGTGGCTCCTATGCTGTAACCTGAACAGTATGTTACTGTATTGAATACGGAAGGCCGTTTTAACACTATGGTAAGTATTTGTGTATCTGAGCATATCAAACATAGAAAAGGTACAGTAAAAATGTGGTGTTACAATCTTACGGGACCAGCGTCATATATGCAGTCCATTGTTACCAAAGCATCGTTATGCAGGGCGTGATTATGCTTTAAAACCACCGCGACAGTGATGAGCTCACAGCCCTGTTTTTCCTCCTAGTGGTGAAAGTGCCACAGAAGACGCTCCTGATGGACGCTCTTAAAGAAGAATCTGAGATCATCTATGACTTTTGCATGTGCAACCCTCCCTTTTTTGCCAATCAATTGGAAGCCAAGGTAAAATGTCTTCTGCTTTAAAATAATTGAATATAGGCCGGGCACAGTGGCTCATGCCTGTAATCCCTGCACTTTGGGAGGCTGAGGTGGGCGGATTATGAAGCCAGGAGTTGGAGACCAGCCTGGCCAACATGGTGAAACCCCTTCTTTACTAAAGATACAGAAAATTAGGCAGGCGTCGTGGCCCACGCTTGTAATCCCAGCTACTGGGGAGGCTGAGGCAGGAGAATCGCTTGAACCCGGGAGGCGGAGGTTGCAATGAAAACTTTAAAAAATTAACTTATGGCTGGGCGCGGTGGCTCAAGCCTGTAATCCCAGCACTTTGAGAGGCCGAGATGGGCGGATCACGAGGTCAGGAGATTGAGACCATCCTGGCTAACACGGTGAAACCCCGTCTCTACTAAAAAAATAGAAAAAACTAGCCGGGCATGGTGGCGGGCGCCTGTAGTCCCAGCTGCTGGGGAGGCTGAGGCAGGAGAATGGTGTAAACCCGGGAGGCGGAGCTTGCAGTGAGCTGAGATCTGGCCACTGCACTCCAGCCTGGGCGACAGAGCGAGACTCTGTCTCAAAAAAAAAAAAAAAAATTAACTTACTATTTTTTAAAGAAAACTTTAAAAAATTAACTTACTGTTTTTTAAATTAATATATTTGAAATGAGAACTTGCTGTGTTGCTCAAGCTGGTCTTGAACATCTGGACTCAAGCAGTCCCCCTCCCGTCAGCTCTCCTAGTAGCTGAGACCATAGGCGCGTGCTACAGTGCCTGGGTTTTGAAAGCTGTGTCAGTTAGGGTGCTTTTGGTTTGAGGTACTCTCGGCTCTCTGTGTCTATAGGTCCTACACCTGTGGGATCCACATCTGTGGATTCAGCCAACCACGCATTGAAAGCGTTGGGAGAGGCCGGGCGCGGTGGCTCAAGCCTGTAATCCCAGCACTTTGGGAGGCCGAGACGGGCGGATCACGAGGTCAGGAGATCGAGACCATCCTGGGTAACACAGTGAAACCCCGTCTCTACTAAAAATACAAAAACTTAGCCGGGCGAGGTGGCAGGCGCCTGTAGTCCCAGCTACTCGGGAGGCTGAGGCAGGAGAATGGCGTGAACCCGGGAGGCGGAGCTTGCAGTGAGCTGAGATCCGGCCACTGCACTCCAGCCTGGGTGACAGAGCGAGACTCCGTCTCAAAAAAAAAAAAAAAAAAAAGAAAGGTTGGGAGGCTTGCAGGGTGCCTCACACTTGTAATCCCAGCACTCTGGGAGGCTGAGGCGGACGGGTAGCTTGAGCTCAGGAGTTCGAAACCAGCCTGGGCAACATGGTGAAACCCTGTCTCTACAAAAACTATAGAAAGAATTAGCCAGATGCTGTGGCGTGTGCCTGTAGACCTAGCTACTTGGGGGAGGCTGAGGTGGAAGGATGGCTTGAGCCCAGGAGGTGCAGGTTGCATTGAGCCAGGATCGTGTCACTGCACTCCAGCCTGGGTAACAGAGCAAGACCCTGTCTCAAAAAAAAAATTGGAGAAAAAAAGAAAACAATAAAAAATAACAATGTAACAATGAAAAATAATACAAAACTACAGTAGCACTATTGTTACATAGCATTCACATTGTATTAGGTATTATAATTAATCTAGGAATTATTGAAAGTAGATGAGATGACGTGGGCAGGTGAAATGCAAATCCTACCCCATATGATAAAAGGGACTTGAGCTTCCTTGGATTTTGGTATCTAAGGCAGATCTTCCTCAGATACTGAGGGAGGACTGTACCTAAAAACCCAATTTAGGTTGACTTAACGACAAAGGAAGTATATTGGCTGACATATTTGAGAAACCCAGCAGTAGTTGGGATTTCATAATGATTTGATTAAGGTGTTCACAGTATTAAGAGCTCTGTTTTTCTCTTGGTTGTGACTTGTTCCGTGGTTGTTTTTGTTCATAAGCTGGTTTACTTGTGCTACAGCAATATTTAGAGGGTGGGAGGGTGCGGAGACAGCTCTTTTCTTCCCTGAACCATTGAGCAGTTGATTTGCTTCTCATTTGACCAACTTGGGTCATAGTCCACTCCTGGACTGAACTTCTTGGCTTAGGAAGGAAATCAATGTTTTTACTGCTACATGGCCTGCTTTTTTTTTTTTTTTTTTTGGTGACAGCGTCTCACTCTTGTCACCCAGGCTGGAGTGTAGTGGCGCCATGTCGGCTCACTGCAACCTCCTTCTCCCAGGTTCAAGCAATTTTCCTGCCTCAGCCTCCAGAATAGCTGGGATCACAAGCATGCACCAACATGCCCGGCTAATTTATGTATTTTTAATAGAGACGGGGTTTCACCATATTGGCCAGGCTAGTCTCAAACTCCTGACCTCAAGTGATCTACCCGCCTTGGCCTCCCAAAGTGCTGGGGTTACACGTGTGAGCCACCGCACCCGGTCAACACTTATTTGTCCTTTTTTTTTGGGGGGGAGGGATGGGGGGATGGAGTGTTGCTCTGTTGCCCAGGCTGGAGTGCAGTGGTGTGATCTCCACTCACCGCAACCTCCACCTCCCAGGTTCAAGTGATTCTCGCACCTCAGCCTCCTGAGTTGCTGAGACTCCTGGCGGATACCACTGCCCTCGGCTAATTTTTTTTGCATTTTTATTAGAGACAGGGTTTTACCGTGTTGGCCAGGCTGGTCTCGAAATTCTGACGTCAAGTGATCTGCCCATCTTGGCCTCCCCAAGTGCTAGGATTACAGGCGTGAGCCACCATGCCCAGCCTGATCTGTCGGGGTTTTTTTTGCTTTTTTTTTTTTGAGACGGAGTCTTGCTCTGTCGCCTAGGCTGGAGTGCAGTGCCGCGATCTCGGCTCACTGCCACCTCTGCCTCCTGGGTTCAAGCAATTCTCCTGCCTCAGCCTCCCCAGTAGCTGGGACTACAGGCGTGAGCCACCACGCCCGGCTAATTTTTTGTATTTTTTTTTTTAGTAGAGACAGGGTTTCACTGTGTTAGCCAGGATGGTCTCGATCTCCTAACCTCTTGATCTGCCCGCCTCAGCCTCCCAAAGTGCTGGGATTACAGCTGTAAGCCACTGCACCCGGCCTGATCTGTCTTTTTGATTATAGCCATCCTAGTGGGTATAAAGTGGTATCTCATTGTGGTTTTGATTAGGATTTCCCAGATGACTGATGATGTTGAGCATCTTTTCACGTGGTTATTGGCCATTTGCATATCTTCTTTGGAGAAATGCTTATTCATATCCTCTGCTCATTTTTAAGTTGGTTTATTTTTCTTTTTTATTATTAAGTTGTAAGCATTCTTTATACATCCTAAAAACAAGTTACTTATTAGACAGTGATTTGCAAACATTCCCTTCCTGTGGGTTGTCTTCTCACTTTTTTTTTTTTTTGGAGACCGAGTCTCACTCTGTCGCCCAGGCTGGAGTGCAGTGGCTGGATCTTGGCTCACTGCAAGCTCTGCCTCCTGGGTTCATGCCATTCTCCTGCCTCAGCCTCCCGAGTAGCTGGGACTACAGGTGCCCGCCACCTCACCCGGCTAGTTATTTTGTATTTTTTAGTAGAGATGGGGTTTCACCGCGTTAGCCAGGATGGTCTCGCTCTCCTGACCTCGTGATCCGCCCGTCTCGGCCTCCCAATGTGCTGGGATTACAGGCTTGAGACATCGTGCCCGGCCAATCTTCTCACTTTCTTTTTTTTTTTTTTTTTTTGAGACGGAGTCTCGCTCTGCTGCCCAGGCTGGAGTGCAGTGGCCGGATCTCAGCTCACTGCAAGCTCCGCCTCCCGGGTTCACGCCATTCTCCTGCCTCAGCCTCCGGAGTAGCTGGGACTACAGGCGCCCGCCACCGCCCCCGGCTAGTTTTTTGTATTTTTTAGTAGAGACGGGGTTTCACCGTGTTAGCCAGGATGGTCTCGATCTCCTGACCTCGTGATCCGCCCATCTCGGCCTCCCAAAGTGCTGGGATTACAGGCTTGAGCCACCGCGCCCGGCCTTCTTCTCACTTTCTTGATGGTGCCCTTTGCAGCTCAGAAGTTTTTAATTCAGATGAAGTCCAATTTATCTGTTCTCTTTTGTTGCTTACGCTTTTGTTGTTATGTTTCAGAAACCATTGCCTATTCCAAGGTCGTGAAAATTTACTCTTATGTTTTCTTCTAAAAAGTTTTATAGTTTTAGGTTTTACTTTTAGGTCTTTGATGAATTTTGAGTTAACTTTCATATGGTATGAGGTAAGGGTGGATTAGATATTTAAATGTGAAAAGCAAAACCATGAAAATGCTAGGAAAAAACATAAGTTAATATTTATCTAATCTTTGGGTGGATTTTCTGTACATGAAAAAGAAAGCATAAAGAAAAAGTGACAGATTGGGCTATATAAAAAGGTAAATAATTTTTATGTTTAATCACAAAAATGGAAAGTAAAAGACCTGGGAATAAATAGTTAATCCCAGCACTTTGGGAGGCCGAGACGGGCGGATCACGAGGTCAGGAGATCGAGACCATCCTGGCTAACCCGGTGAAACCCTGTCTCTACTAAAAAATACAAAAAACTAGCCGGGCGAGGTGGCGGGCGCCTGTAGTCCCAGCTACTCGGGAGGCTGAGGCAGGAGAATGGTCTAAACCTGGGAGGCGGAGCTTGCAGTGAGCTGAGATCCGGCCACTGCACCCCAGCCTGGGCGACAGAGCGAGACTCCGTCTCAAAAAAAAAAAAAAAAAAATAGTTGCATGAAGTAGCTGCGTAAAATAAAATACTTTAGGCCAGGCACGGTGGCTCACGCCTGTAATCCCAGCACTTTGGGAGGCCGAGGTGGGCGGATCATGAGGTCAGGAGATTGAGACCATCCTGGCTCACGCAGTGAAACCCCATCTCTACTAAAAATGCAAAAAATTAGCCGGGCATGGTGGCAGGTGCCTGTAGTCCCAGCTGCTCGGGAGGCTGAGGCAGGAGAATGGCTGAACCCGGGAGGCGGAGCTTGCAGTGAGCTGAGATCGCGGCACTGCACTCCAGCCTGGGTGAAAGAGGGAGACTCCGTCTCAAAAAATAAATAAATAAAATATTTTATTGGCTATGTGATTTTAAAATCTAAATCTAGCGTACTATTTGGAAAGTAAAATTGCATCTAAACATTCTAACTTAGAGATAGGTTACATTCAGACTCGGTTCTTGGGTGTACACATTTTTCACCAGTGTTTTTTTGTCGTCGTTGTTCAGGGAGTAAACTCAAGAAATCCTCGAAGACCTCCACCTAGTTCTGTTAATACAGGAGGCATCACAGAGATCATGGCAGAAGGAGGTGAATTAGAGTTTGTTAAAAGGATCATCCATGACAGTCTACAACTTAAAAAAAGATTAAGGTAAGTCTGTTTTTACAACATAGAGTCCGTTTTTACAACACAGGAATATTTACCCCCTATGTAGTTCTCTTTTTTGTGGTGGGGGGATGGAGTCTTGCTCTTGTTGCCCAGGCTGGAGTGCAGTGGCACCATCTCAGCTCACTGCAACCTCTGCCTCCTGGGTTCAAGCTTTTCTTGTGCCTCAGCCTCCAAGTAGCTGGGATTACAGGCACCTGCCACCTGTCATTTTTGTACTTCTAGTAGAGACGGGGATTTCGCCATGTTGGCCAGGCTGGTCTGGAACTCCTAGCCTCAGGTGATCCGCCTGCCTCGACCTCCCAAAGTGCTGGGATTACAGACATGAGCCACCGTGCCCAGCCTGCAATCTTCATCTGCTTGTTCTTCTGACCACTAGGATTACTTTTCCTCTGAGCGACATGGTTTGTTTTAGAACGACATAGGGGAGGTGGGGCGCAGTGGCTCATGCCTATAATCCCAGCACTTTGGGAGGCCGAGGCAGGCGCATCAGAAGGTCAGGAGTTCAAGACCAGCCTGGCCAATATGGTGAAACCCCATCTCTACTAAAAATATAAAAATGAGTCAGGCGTGGTGGCGGGTGCCTGTTGTCCCAGCCACTTGGGAGGCTGAGGCAGGAGAATCACCTAAACCTGGGAGGCGGAGGTTGCAGTGAGCCGAGATTGCACCACTGCTCTCCAGCCTGGGCGAGAGAGTGAGATTCCTTCTCCAAAAATAAAAATAAAAATAAAGATTGCAAAGGTAGTGGCTCCTACAATCTGTGAAGACCCTGTTTCTGAGGATGTTCCATGCCTTTAATTGATTAGTGTTTACTGTATTCGTGTATATTACATAGATAGGAAAGAGGAAAATACCATATGATTGTATTGCTCCCATTAGGATGGTCCTGTGGGGGAACAAAACTGATTCAAATACAGCTTTTGATTAGAAAACAGATGGGTTCAGTTCTGTCCCATGAACCAGAATAAATGTGTTGCCTAGTCCTTTCAGCAATTTAGGTTCTCGGAATTAGTCTCCCAAACAGTGACAGATGTGAGGACATTGAGCTGTCAAGAACTTAATGAAGGGAAACTGAGATCACTAACCAGTTGCAGAGGAGGGTTAAGGCCATTCCTTTTGAAAGCTAATTATTTTGGACAGTACACCTGTCGTTAAGCAACATAAGGTACTCAAAAAGAGCTATTTGTCTCGCTTGACTTCTCACCCTGCCACATGTTGTTGAAATGATGGATAATGTGGTAGTTCAAAAACTGAAAGAGCTTTCAACCCTAGAATTTAGCTTTGGGACATAGGGAAGATTTTATTTGTTATTGTGTCAAATGCACATAACATAAAATTTACCATCTGTATTAGTCCATTCTCACACTGCTATAAAGAAATACCTGAGACTGAGTAATTTGTAAAGAAAAGAGGTTTAATTGGTTCACGGTTCCACAGGCTGTATAGACAGCATCGCTGGGGAAGCCTCCGGAAATGTACAATCATGGCAGAAAGTGAAGGGGAAGCAGGTACATCAGTACATGGCCAGAGGAGGAAGAGGAAGAGAGAAGGGGGGCGGCATGGTGCTACACACTTAAACAACCGGATCTAGTGAGATCTCACTATCACCAGAACGGCAAGGGGAAATCTGCCCTCAGGATCCAGTCACCTCCCAGCAGGCCCCCTCGCCAACACTAGAGATTACAGTTTGATATGATATTTGGACGGGGACACAAATCCAAACCATATCGCCATCTAAAATTTTAGAGTATAGTTTAGTGACGTTAAGTACATTCCCATTGTTGTGCAAGCAGTCTCCAGAACTCTTCATTTTGCGGAACTGGAACTCTGCCGCTTAAATAACTCCTCGTTCTCTCCTTCCCTGAGCCCCCGGCAACCATCATTCTGCTGTCTGTCTCTACGAACTTGACTACTCTAGGTACCTCGTACAAATGGAATCATACGGTATTTGTCCTTTTATGACTGGCTTTTTTCACTTTTCGTCATGTTTTCAAGGTTCATCCATGATGCAGCATATTTCTGAATTTTCTTCCTTTTTAAGGCTGATAGTGTTAAAATTCCATTGTCCATGTGTACCACATTTTGTTTCTCCTTTCATCTGCTGATGGAGAATACTTAGGTTGCTTCTACCCTTTGGCTATTGTGAATAATGCTATATGAATATGGGTATATAAATATCTCCTAGAGACCCTGCTTTCAGTTCTTTGGATGTAGACCTAGAAGTGGAATTCCTGGATAGGGAAGATTTTTTTCCCTATATGGTATTGTCCTCTTTTCTGTCTATGTAGTATAGATGATTATAGGAAACAAAATCACTTAAAGATGTGAGAAGGCTGGGCACGGTGGCTCACGCCTGTAATCCCAGCACTCTGGGAGACCCAAGCGGGTGGATCACCTGAGGTCTGGAGTTGGAGACTAGCCAACATGGTGAAACCCTGTCTCTAGTAACAAATACAAAAAATTAGCCAGGCCTGGTGGCAGGCACCTGTAATTCCAGCTACTTGGGAGGCTGAGGCAGGAGAACTGCTTGAACCTGGGAGGCAGAGGTTGCAGTGAACCAAGATTGCGCCACTGCACTCCAGCCTGGGTGACAGAGCGAGACTCCATCTGAAAAAAAAAAAAAAAAAAAGACAGGAGAACATCCTCAGAAATGAAAATATCCTCAGAAACAGGGTCTCTGCAGGCTATAGGAGCTACTACCTTTTCAATTTTTGTTTATTCTTATTCTATAAATCTTTCCTATCTCCCAAAGGTAGAAAGCTGCTTATTTTATTAAAGACTTATTCCAAAATCATCAAATAGCCTGATTTTTTTTTTTTCTTCGAGACAGAGTCTCACTCTGTCACCCAGGCTGGAGAGCAGTAGGGTGATCTTGGCTCACTGCAACCTCTCTCCGCTTCCCAGGTTCCAACGATTCTCATGCCTCAGCTTCCTGAGTAGCTGGGGCTACAGGCATGTGCCACCACGCCTGGCTAAGTTTTTGCACTTTTTTAGTAGAGTTGAGGTTTCACCATGTTGGCCAGGCCGGTCTCGAAGTCTTGACTTCAAGTGATTCTCCTGTCTCGGCCTCCCAGTGTGCCATGATTACAGATGTGAGCCACCACACCCAGTCTAGATTAACTTATTTAGACACATTAAACTATCTTGAAGAAGAAAGAGACTAAAATTATACTGAGCATTGAGAAAAGTCTGAGAAAGTAAAATAAAGAAGGTAAGAGCACTGAAATTCACAGAAAAGAGGTAACCGAGCCACGTGACCATTTCATGATGGCTTTTTTAAAAAATTGAGACTGAGTTTCACTCTTGTTGCCCAGGCTGGAGTGCAATGGTATGATCTTGGCTCACCGCAACTTCCGCCTCCCAGGTTCAAGCGATTCTCCTGCCTCAGCCTCCCAAGTAGCTAAGATTACAGGCATGCACCACCACGCCAGGCTAATTTTGTATTTTTAGTAGAGACGGGGTTTCTCCGTGTTGGTCAGGCTAGTCTCGAACTCCTGACCTCAGGTGATCCACCCGCCTCATCCTCCCAAAGTGCTGGGACGACAGGCGTGAGCCATCGCGCCCAGCCCTCATTATGGCTTTTGAGGGAACTGGAGCCAGCCAGGAAAATGGGGAACTGTAGGTGGCTCTTCTAGGCTACAATAATATTGGGGTTGTTCTCAGGAGGCTTTTAAACAGTAAGTTTCTGTCATTTCCAAAGTCCCATTTGAACTACAAAAATATGTTTGAACAGAACACCATTTTAAGGGGTGGAAATGGACTCAGTATGTTCCTAGTCTGCTTATCCCTGGCGCTGGGGCAGCCTGCGAACTGAATCAAGGGTGTAAATTTGCTAAGAAGGATAAAATGCAAGAGCCCGTCACAGCTCCGGAGAGCTGGCCATCTTGTGCTTGGTATCTCATATGGGAAACAAACCCTGTTAGGATTTATTTAAAACAAGGTGCAACTGTCTTCTCTGTGAGGACTCAGGCAGTTTGAAAGTTTAGATGAAAGAAAGGAAGAAATGAAGTTATTTTTATTGAGAAGAAAATAGAAGAGTGTTTTGTGAAAGGGTATTGCTTGCAAATATTGTTTTCAATCACATCCTACCATGATTACCCAGTTCGTGTCCCCATGCATATGTATATCTATCTATCTATGTTTTTTGAGATGGAGTTTTTGCTCTTGTCGCCCAGACTGGAGTGCAATGGCACGATCTCAGCTCATTGCAACCCCCACCTCCTGTATTCAAGCGATTCTCCTGCCTCAGCCTCCAGAGTAGCTGGGATTACAGGCATGCACCACCACACCCAGCTAATTTTGTATTTTTAGTAGAGACAAGATTTCTCCATGTTGGCCAGGCTGGTCTCGAACTCCTGACCTCAGGTGATCTGCCTGCGTTGGCCTCCCAAAGTGCTGGGATTAAAGGCGTGAACCACTGTGCCCGGCCCCCATGCATATTTTTATAGTTGACATAATGTTTATACGTGTGTGACTCACATTTCGGAATGCTGTGAAAATTGTGTATTTTGAAGCTCTAAAAAATAAGAGATTACAAACAAGTATCTTAACCCTACCATCTGTTTCTTATGCCTCTAGAATGTTTTTTTCTTTGTCCCTGAAGAAATACAGGAACGAAGCAGAATTTGCAGCATTATGGGGTGAAATAAGTTAAATCTGTTGGACTGACCTCAGGATGGCGCTTATGATGCCTCGTCTCCCCTGGGAGGTTCATGTCTCACCTCTGTCATGCTCAGCAGCAGTTACAGTTTTGTTTTGTATCTTAAGGAATTTTGCAGCTGGAAAGACCTTGAGAGGTAAACTTATCCAGCCTCTTGGTTTACAGTCTTGAAACTTTGAACTCAGATACCCTCATTCTAGTCCAGTGGTCTTTCTGCCGCCCCCACAGTCTCTGCAGCTCTAAGCTACAGGTGGACTCTGAAGAGCCTTTCTATTGTTGATGAAGATTTACAAGTGCTTGTCACCCTTACTTTGGCTTTCTGTGC